TGTTTCTATATATGCTGCAATTTATGCTTTCTGTTTGCCATTTTTCTTTTTATTTTCTTATGCTGTTCCTTGAATTCACTGTTGGTTTTTATGAACCTAAATCCATCTCTTTTTTCTTTAGGATTTCATCCTTTGACTTATGCTTAAAAACACTCACGCAGAGATCAATAAATGCAGCCTTAAATTGCGCAACTGATTTCATTTTTTTAAAAAACATATATCTGAAATCATGTGTGTAAAAATATGTCAAGAATGTTTTTAAAAAAATGAAAATTTAAATTTACTCAATCTTTCCTGAGAATATTTCAGAAAAACATACTATCTGTGTTAATCTGATTAAAGACTTACTTTCTAGTTTCAGATTCTTTTTCCTTAAGTGAACGGGTCTTTAACTAAAAGCTCAACTGGTGTGACAGAAACAGAAGCAAGCTTAATGTTGCGTCTCATCGCCCTAGATTTATGAAACAAGAACAGAGAATCCTAGTCAAAGTAATAAAAAGGGCTATGGCTTCTCACCACTCAGCCACCAGTGTAAAGGGGCAAGCGTGTCTTTCTGGAACATTTGGATCTTTCTTCCTTTGCCCAGGGGAGAAACAGCATTTCCATCTGCAGTCTAAGCAAGGGCAACAGCAATGAGGATGTGTATGTCTTGTTGCCCCCGACTCTGTTCAAAGGCAATCAGCCATGCAGGGACTGGGCTGTCTGGGCATGAGTAACCCACCAATCTTTTAAAAATAGATTCTGTTGGGGCCGGCCCCGTGGCCGAATGGTTAAGTTTGTGTGCTCCGCTTCAGTGGCCTGGGGTTTCACTGGTTTGGATCCTGGGCGCGGACATGGCACCGCTTGTTGGGCCACGCGGGGTTGGTGTCCCACATGCCACAACTAGAAGGATCCCACAACCAAAACATACAACTATGTACTGGGGAGATTTGTGGACAAAAAGCGAAAAAAAAGATAGATTGCTACAAGTCAGCTACACTCCTAGATTTCCAACACAGTATTTATGTCTAAATAAACAATTAAGTTGGGTCACTCTGCTTTATGTTTAAATCCAATTGGCTCCAACTAATTCAACTGTCTCATTACAAAGTGGTTTCCATTACAGGAGCCCCAAAAGGAAACTGTTCAGGGAATTCTCCCAAAACACTTAAAGAATCTATTAGTCTATTATCTTAAAAGTAATATAACCCTCACCCGGCAAAAAAAAAAAAAACAACCAAAACAAAAAAAACACAACTATATATATATACACACAATTATGCATACACACACACACACACACACACACACACATATATATATAGAGAGAGAGAGGTTCTAAGTACAGTACACAGCATATGGGAAACAAGCATGCAATCTATCTAAAGTCACGTCACAGGGATGGTTTAGTCTCCTGGGTTCAGAATGTACAGAGTTTAGTAAAATATGGATATGACACAAAAGTGACAAGAATTTTGGTAAGTCAACTATGATACCGAAAAGGTCAGTAAGAACTCTATTCCATCCCAAAAGTATTTGTCTTGGGTCATCTCTAATGAACCTAGAAGAGCCAGCATATTTCACAGGGGCTAAATAAAACTTTTTAAAAGGTTAACGGAAAAATATTTATGTGAAAAATGCTTCCAAATAATCTTTTAGTGGGTGGATTCGGCACATACCAGTGAATACCTTTGAGCTTAGTCCAATTTTGAATTAAGCTAGAGTTCACCTTTAAGAAACAATGAACCTGTTTTTAAGTAAAACCCTGTATTAAAAAAAAAAAAAACATGGAATGTGAATACAAAATAAAAAAGATATTATCAACTGCACTGCATCTAAATATTTTACAAAGTTTTCCAAGAGCCGTCAGTAGATCTTTTAAATGCATGATCTTTTAAAAAATTTGTTAGTCATTCATCTGTAAAAATCTAGCTTTTTATGTGTATGCCAAGTATAAAATTGCCCCATGCTAAATTTAACACAAACCTCACATTACAGAGTTATGTGTTCCTGCACTTCGACATGCCTACGACAGTGATTCAAAGGGTAAAAGCACAGAATAGTCTACCTTCTACGGCAACTCAGTACAATGAAGAAAGCCTGAGAAGCAGGCAAAAATTAGGTCCATATTTTAAATCTGCAGGCAATCAAGCCAGGAACCAGGCTATGTAATCACAATCGCTTGCAAAACCATTTAAACTATTTTTTAGTTGTAATTGTTAGCAGTTTCTATTTTAAAGACTGTAATCTTTAAAAACATATCTCCCACTTTAAAAAATTAAACGCACATGTACATTAACTTTTTTTCGTCTACTTATAGTCAGGTACTAGCTATGCCAGGTTAAAATGGTCTTCTTTCCCCTTTCTAATTCTGCATGCCTTTCTTTTAATTCTTGTACACTATGGTTCCAAGTTAATTTCATATTTATCCAAACAATGGTTGGCTACAAATTTCATCTTTTCAACTACAATTTGTGAAGTAATGTAGAGTTTAACAAAGAAAACAATCACTTTATAAGGGCATTCTCTTTTTTTACAAAGTAGTATGTTACCTTTTCAGATGTGATCCAAGAATGGTTAATCATTTTACAAATGTTAGATAATTAAAGATACCCAACATTGTAGATTGGTATACAACTCTTAACAGAGCACATTGAATAGTAAGCTGTAAAATGAGTTGTTCAAGGTCAGACAATATGTCAGAGAGGCGACCAGCATGGCCAGTCTCCAATTCCTTTCTTCCCCAACACGCGCCATCCTGAAAGATCCAGGCTCTAGCCTCTGCCTGCCAAATGCTAACACTGGTATTCTTCATAGGACAGAAACCACTTAGGGCAGAATTTCAACTTAAGGAATTGATTAAATAGAAGAGAACTTAACCAAAGTTACCAAATCTATAGATTTAAATTAATTTTCAGGTAACGGATTCATCATCTGAGTGATCAATCCCTAAGAAGAGACTAACTTTTTCCTAATATTATATTAAAGAGCTGGTTCAAGAGGACGCCGGGGCCAGACTCAAGAGAAGCAGCCCTCGGGGAATGCCACAGTTACTGTTCAGAGCTGGGCTGCCCTCACCCTCTGTGGTAACCTGAGGCAGGGGCCACTCCGTGCTCAGAGGGAAGAACTCTCGTATTCAGCTTTCTTACCCCCTCGCAGTGGGGAAGAGTTGAAAGATCATTATTCTTTCAGATTCTCAGTCTGAACTACTGTAGACCAGAGGAAATCCTAAAGTGTTAACAATTTGGTTAAGTTTCAAGCTGACTTCAAATAGCTTTATCACTTCTAACATTATGTCAAAAGAAAATCTTTTATGTATTCTTACACATTTCTGACCGCTGAAACTCATTGGCTTCTTTGTAGTAAATCTTCCCATACTTGCAAAGGAGTTCCAAAATCCCTTAGCAAGTTAAAAAAAATCAACAAACACATAAAGCTAAAAGTCAAAACACCACTGTTTAATGATATAAGTTTGCAGGTTATCTATAACGTGATTTCATGTTAAAACTGCCAAGTTAATAACTATTTGACTTCCATATTCAAATACAACGTTTATATTCTTTGAAAAACTATCCAGCGCCAAAAGCAACTTTTCAATTATAAACTATATATTCTTTGGTCACCTTGTATATGCAAAAAACATCCAACAGATAAAAAGTATAAGAATGGAATTTTTGGCAAGCCTACACAGAATTATATAATTTTTATTCAAACAGGGAGAGAGAAGGCATGGAAGGAAATCAACATTCATGTGCTTACTAGAAACGGGTACTGTGCTAAGTATTTCACATAAAACTGAAATCAATTTAATGTTTTCCCACATTTCCTTACCAAGCAGTTATAAACCTATATATTAACCATCTAAAGAATTAAACACAAACTCTCTGAGAATCCTGAACTGAGTCCATTTTTCCTTTGGGCTATGTGCTAAGCCTTTCACATTCATCATCCTGATACACAGATGTAGACCAAAGGCTCAGAGTCATATTAAATTACTCCCAGAAAGTAATCCATGATTACCATTACCTCACTGAACTATTCTTTTCAAGAGGGTAGTTTTGATGATCCAAGAATTCAATTCTCATAAGCATGCTTTCATAAGAGTTTCTTTTTTTACTAATTTCATTATACATCAAGAGTTGAGCTGCTAACATCAAGGAATACTTTTCATTACGACAATTTACATATTGAAGCTTATTCAGCTTCCAGAGGTTATAAGGAAGAAAAATAGGGTTAGAAATGAGATTGATTTGACTTCACTGGGGACGTCACTTTGACAGGGTCTTCACTGGCTGGCTTTGTTCCACTGAGTTACAGTAAAATGGTCACTTCAGTGAAAATAGATGCTTTTTGAAAGAGACGGGGAGGAAGTTAAAGAAAAATGTCTATGCTTCCAATGCATAATGGCTTGATCACGTACCTTTGGAAAAAAACAAACTAAAGTGGATTTTTAAGTCCCTAAAAATACTATAATTGGAATGAAACTGTCAGCAATTTTATTCTTACATTTCCAATACTTCAATTAGTGGCTTTAACAAAACATTAGAAATTCTAATGACTCAGCATAACATGAAAAATGCTCATTACAATGTTAAATGAAAACAACATAGTACAAACTTTTGTCTATATTATAATTACACAAAAATGTGTGTGTACCTAAAACAGAATCAGAACCGCAAAACAAGTGATTTTAGAGTATAATGGGCTTGTAGATAATTGCTTTTCTTTTTTGGTTCTTTTATAGCATAATAATGTTGCAATAAAATCAACCTTAAAAAAAGAATGTCACCCCTTTGTGGATTAAACGGTAATGTGTGTGCAATGACTTAACCACGTTAAGGATATGAGTGCCTGAGTCTTCTGTCAGCTCCAGCAAAGCAAACACCATGACTTCCTTGTATCCCCCACAACACTCAACCTGGCATCTCGGGCCCAAACAGACCCAATGTACACCCAGCGACGGACTAATCACTGAACCACTGAGGAAACCAAGTGCAGTTAACGTAAAACTGAAGACTTACTGTTACTTGTTGGTTCCGGAAACCCAGCCTTTGGACCACTCCATCCTTTGTTTTCCCCAGTCTGAAAGATTAAGTCAGTTTTTTAAATCTGGAGAAATAGACTTATTCAAGAAGAAAAAAAGTTAACTAATCAATTAAGCAAGGGCAAAGGTCTCTCACATAGTTATTCTACTTATTCTCTCCAAGTGCAACTCCAGGACCATGGACACAAGAGTAACTAACATGAACAGTATCAGTCACCCCTTTTCTGCATTTGAATCTGCTCCTCATGTCTCCTTCTGCTTTTATCCGTTCATTTAAATTTATAATTTAAGTCATCGAGAAAGTCCCATATTCACTATATGTACTATGTCCAAAATGGGCTCTGTCTAGGTGATTAAAAAGTAAACAATTCTTACTCAAACAGTAAACAATAATCACAAGTGCTAAAGTTATTAAAAGAGCTTCTTTATCACTCCTGAGGTCAAACTAACAACAGAAATGTTACTATGTCTATTCTGGAAAAGCATGACAAGGGTCACCAAATATTGCCAATGACATACACAAAAAATTGAAAACTAAGCCCTAATTTGAAGTAAAATTTGTAATATCCTGACTTTTTCCAGATGATATGATCTATGTTTGGTGTAAAATATATTCTGAAACTCAGACACAGTCATGCACTTCATAACGATGTATCGGTCAACAACAGACCATATACGACGGTGGTCCCATAAGGTTAGTACCATAGAGCCTAGGTGTGTAGTAGGCTATACCATCTAGGTCTGGGTAAATACACTCTGTGATGTTCACACAATGACAAAATCATCTCACAATGCAGTTCTCAGAACATAACTTTGTCGTTAAGCGACGCATGACTATTTTGTAGTACCATTTTAATCAAATTAATAAGTGACTTTAACTGGTTATGTTCTCTTTCTGTGGAGCTGCTATTATCGATATGAAGTACTCCAGGGGGAAAAAAAGACATATTTCCTATTATAATTAGCATTTTATGTTATCAGCTGTCAAAGAGCAAATGGATAAATTTAATCCAGATATCAACACAAAATACAATTCTAGCAAACAGTTTACCATTGTGAAAGGATGGAGGAGGAGCAAATGTTTGTAAATGCAAATAGATTATGAAGGGAAGGCTGGGGAGACTCTCACTTATATGCTCCCTGTCAGGTACGAGACAAGACCACGGAAGGAGAGGAAAGCTGACTGAGGGGGTTATAAATTTGAGGAACGTGTACACAGCAGGACTAAGTTACTTTAGGGAGGGGAGGAGCAGGCTGAAGGAAGAATGCAGATTCTCAGGCATCTGAGAGCTTAGCTGAAGTTGGTAATAATAAATTTAGCATTTCAACCCTCCCTTCCTCTCATAACCAAGGCTATTTAAATATTAGGTTATATTCCCTAGGCCTAATTTTTCACCTTCATCTGAATCCCAAGCTTACCCCTCTCTGATTTTTACCCCAACACTCTAATGAGACTACTTTTGTAAGGTTCCTACTTAAACATGACAGAGTAAACACAACTCGTAACCTCTCCTGTCTCCTGAAACCTCTCTAAACTGATAATCCAATAATCCATAAACTCTCTCTCCCTCCTGTCTCCCCCTCCCTCCTCACAGAATATGAAAAGGAGTCAACAGAAGAAGAGAGAAGTCAAAGTGTGGAACCTGGAAAGCAGATGACAAGTTGTATCTGACTTAGCAGATGTAAGCAGGCTGAAACCTAACCCGCAGAGCAGGAAGCCAACAAAGAGCTTACAAAAAGTAAACCGATTTGTGCCCTAGGACCCTGGAAGGCCTCAGGAATTAGGAACATACCTGGTACCTCTAAAAATGAATCCTGGAAGGGCTTGAAAACAGAAGGATTGTTTGGAAGTTTTTCAGAGTGCTATGAAATCTCCAGGTCACCTCTTTGACCCCAAAGAGACAGATTTCCTAAGAGGTTTCCCCTCAGGAAAGGCTAAAACAGAGGGACTCTGAACACCAGGCAGGGCTGAGGGTGGGATCAACACGCCACACTGCAAATAAGGCAATGGAGTCCAAAGTTACATCCTGGAAGATGAAATCCCAGCTCCCGTCCTCATCTGGGCTTCAGAAGACGACAGCCAGGCTTCTGACCCACCAGGAATGGTAAGGATAACACAGGGAACAGAATAAAACTTCAAAAAAAGGTAAAAGAAAAAGTTTTCAGAGACATAAAAAAAATACTATACCCATTAAACAAGAACAGAAGGCTAAGAAAGAAATATTTTGAGAATGAGGAAGAGCTCTGGAAAACAAAAAATACAATAGCCAAAGCAAAAAAATTCAAAAAACGGACTGAAAGACAAACTTAGAGAAATCTCCTAGAAAACAGAACAAAAAGAGAAAAATATAGAAATAGAAAAGAGAAAGAAAAAACCAAAGGAACAAAGAAAGAAAAATCTGAAGATCATCCAGATGTCCCAGAAAGAACTAACAGCAAAAAAGGAAGGATAGAAATTATCAAAGAAATAATATAAGAGATTTCCCACTTTTAAAGTGTATGCATTTCTGGATTGAAACCCACCCACTCAACACAATTTATCAAAGAATATACACATCAAGTCAATCATCCATGAAATTTCAAAACCCCTGGGAAAATAAACAGTCAGAAAAGCATCAAGAGGGGGAAGAAATGCAAAGTTTTATAGACATGGTGAGAATCAGAAGGCTCTGGAGCTCCAAGAGTAACGCTGGGAGGCAGAAATCAGCGGGTTGATGCCCTTCAAACTCTGTCAAAGTATTATTTCCAATTCAGAATCATCTCTCAGAAAAACCATCAACTAAGTGTGTGGAAAGGAAAAATATTTCAGACTTACAAGATCTCAAAAAAATTTACTTCCAATGTATCGTCTATCAGGAAGCTACTGAAGTATGCGCTCCATCAAAACAAGGAAGAAAATCCACAACAGAGGAAACTGTCCAGAAAACAGGCAACTCCACGAGAGAGAGGGGCAAAAGGAATTTTCAGGATAACGGCGAAGAAGAGAACCAACAGAGTGGCTCTTCAGCAGACCTAGCAAACGACCAATCCAAACCATAAGAGGAGGAGCGAGAGCTCCAAGAAAGAGAAAAAAAAGAAACCAGAAAATTACATGATGTGTTTCCTTAGCAGACAGTTTAGGGATAAGTTAGAAAGATGCAGAAAAGTGTACATGTGGGGTCTGTATAAGAGAGTTAAATCGTTGTTTTATAGCAGGAACTCAGATAATATCTAAAAACAAAAAATCAAGAAATAGCAGTACAAGCTACTGATAGTAGAAACTAATAGAATAAACAGCTAAAACAGGTGGTAAGTGGTTGCCTCTGGAAAAGGGGAAGCAGAAATGGCCAGTGGCAGGGCAGGATAGAATGGTTTTTTATTACAAATCTTGAGTCTTCATACCATTAATCTTGAATAAATCTTGACTTTTTATACATACATGAGTATTACTTTGACCAATATAATAATCAAATATAAAAAAGAATGAAACACACGCCAGTTGCATCTTGACATAGAACAAACTCCAAAACAGAAGTGAAAATACAACATATGGGTGAAAAAAAAATCAAAACTGCAAGAACAGTGCATTTTTCTTTTTTGAGGAAGATTAGCCCTGAGCTAACATTGGCTGCCAATCCTCCTCTTTTTGCTGAGGAAGACTGGCCCTGAGCTAACATCTGTGCCCATCTTCCTCTGCTTTATATGTGGGACTCCTACCACAGCATAGCGTGCCAAGCGGTGCCATGTCCGCACCCGGGATCTGAACCGGCGAGCCCTGGGCCGCCAAAGCCAGCATGCAAACTTAACTGCTGCACCACAGGGCCGGCCCCAAGAACAGTGTACTTTAAAAGGGGTGGAAACAGTGTTCCACTTTTCCTTAGAATGTAGAAATGTAACAACGAGAAAGAATCAGATAATGCAAAAAATCATAACTTTTCTTGAGCCGTCAGAGTTCTGAGATTGTAAGCAACCAAGTAAAATGAACTCTAGAGACAGACAAACCTCTCTGGGGAGCGGAAGAGCTCACAAAAGCTTTCAACATTGGCAGAGCAAGTAAGAAAAGGATGGATGCCAAAACCGCAGGCAAGAAAAAAGCATATGAAACATCGAGAAAGTCTAAAAGACTGGGTGTAGGGTAGTATGACACCTTAGAAAAACTAGGAACTCCACACAGAAGCTCTCTTCCACAGGCCTCCCTGGGTCCTCAGGAGGACCACCGGCAGTACAGCTGGAAACCAGAGAGGGCACCCTCAGTGGTGCGTGTGTGCAGCAGGTGAACGTGTGCCACTGGAAGAAAGGCAGGGAGCTTTACACACTTCTATAGACTCTCCTCTCGTACAAAGCAAACAGCTCAAGTTGCTGTCCTAGTTCTTCCTCTAGTGAGAGGAAGGGGAGAAACAAACCCCCGTCCGCCTCTGGAGTAGAAACATGAAATCCTGTTGCCCAGGCTCAGGCAAAGACTCACTGCTTGTGGAAAAAGAGTAGAAGCAAAAGCTACCTGCCCCTCGGAAAAAGCAAAAACGAGGGTAGAAAACCCCCTTGAGAGAAGGCCCTGTACCAATATAAAGGAGAGGCCTGAAAATGCTGGGAGAGGGATGGGAAACTCCGCTGCACCCAAGACCACCCACAGATCCAGAGTAAAGTTCAGCTACCAAGGGGAAGGAGGCAGAAACATTGAGAAAAACCCACCTCTGAGACCCAGGCACACAGAGTCTGCCTAACAATGATGTTGGACAGGAAAATCAAGAACGATGGCCCCAGACCCACCATAATCCTATGACCAAGTAACAAGCAGTGTTTCTAATGTTTCTTGATACATGACGTTGAAGATTTGTTAAAAAATCATGAGACACCCAAAATTGCAAGAAGAAATAACCCACTGTCAAAAGATTGAGAAGAAAACAAAACAGGACCCAGAGATGACCCAGGTGCTAGAACTATAAGAAATAAATTTTACAATTCCTATGATTAATAGGCTAATGTAAAAGGCAGACAACACACACGAACACATGGGGAATTTCAGCAGAGAAATAGGAACTCCAGAACAAAAGCAAATGGG